CTTGTGGCATGATAACAAAGATGCCTTGGAGCCTGATGTGTATCAGTTTGAACGGACTGTCTTTGGCGAAGTGTCTGCCCCATCCAGAGCCAATTATACAATGAGAAGAAATGCAGAAGAGAACGGAGCAGACCTTCCCCTGGGAGTCAGAGCAGTGGAAAAACATTTCTACATGGATGATGGTTTACCATCAACAAACTCGCAGCAGGAAGCTATTGAGATTAGGAAGCAAATGACCGAACTTCTCAGACGTGGAGGATTCTACCTACACAAATGGTTAACAAATGACCCTGAAGTGTTAGCTACGATTCCATCAGAAGAAAGATCACCGAGATTCTTAGAGTTGACTGATGGTAAGCTACTAACCGACCGTGCGTTAGGATTGATTTGGGATGCAGAAGAAGATACCTTGAAATTCACGTGTCCCGCTAGTACACCTGGGAAAACCAAACGGCAGATCCTTAGCCAATCATTCTCCATTTGGGATCCACGTGGGCTGATACTTCCATTCTCTATCAGAGCTAAGATGTTGTTACAGAAATTGCATCATAAGAAGATCGGATGGGATGATGAAATCAATGATGATGAACTGAAGGAATGGTTCGCATGGTGTGAAGAAGTAAAAGAATTAAAAAGTAAAGCAATATCGTGATCCCAAGGGTTGTTATGGGTAAGCCCTGTAAAGATAGGAGTTCAGAGATTCATGTTTTCTGTGATGCGAGTCAAGAGTCCTATGGAGCCTGTGCGTATCTAAGGTGTGAATTCGAGGATGGGACGGTTGAGTGTCGACTTATTGCCGGAAAGGGTAGAGTGGCACCCTTAAAGGCTCATTCGATTTGTAGATTGGAATTGATGACAGCTTTAATCGGAGCGAGATTAGTGGAGACTGTAGTTAAAGAACTGACAATTGAGATCAATGCTGTTGTATTCTGGAGTGATTCGACTACGGTACTACATTGGATAAAGTAGATAAGTTCTAGATACAAAGCTTTCGTAGGAAACCGTGTTTCTGAGATCCATTCAGTTGTTCATGAATTGGAAACCAAGTTGGGAGCAGATACGGTGAGTTGGAGATATGTTCCTACAGATGTTAATCCTGCTGATGACATCTCTTGTGGGTTATCACCAAGTGAGTTGACCATGGGACACTGTTACCTGAGTGGTCCGGAGTTCCTGAAGACGGAAAGGGAGAATTGGCCAAAGAATAAAGTGAACCCCCCATCAGAAAGGGACACAGAAGAAAGAAAGGAAACCAAGTGGACAGATACTTTTCAAGAGAAAACACCTTTAATCAGTTGGAATCGGTTTTCGTGTCTGGGAAAGCTAAGATGAGTGATGGCCTTATGTGCTACGGTTTGTCACCAACTTAAGAAAGAAAACGGACGCGCGTATGTTTGGACATCTTTCGATCGGCGAGCTCAATGTAGCGCATGATTTCTTGGTAAAGAAAGCGCAGTCGGAATCGTTTGAAGAAGAGTTGAAAGTATTACTCAACTGCCTTACTCAACTCGACCAAAAGAAAATACATAATTTGCTGACACCACAGGGTATAGAATGGCATTTTCAACCACATTTGTCTCCTCATTTTGGTGGTGCGTGGGAAAGATTGGTCCAATCTACAAAGAGAACCTTGAAAGCTATCCTGAACGATAGGGTTGTTGTAAAGGAGGCGCTCAGAACGGCGTTGGTAGAAGTTGAAGGAATTTTAAATAGTAGGCCTATCACCCAAGTGTCCAGTGATGCAAATGACTGGGAGGCACTTACCCCAAACCATTTGATCCTCTTGCGTGCTAATCCAGCTGTTGCTGATGTTCATGTTGAAGATAAGGAGATAAACTCTAGGAAAGTGTGGAGACAGTCGCAAGCTTTAGCAAATTTCTTCTGGAAAAGATTCATTATTGAATACATTCCAAGTCAAACGAGGAGGAAAAAGTGGACGGAGAAAGCTCGTAGTTCTTATTGCAGAATCAAATCAATCTCGTGGGATGCGGCCAATGGGACGAATAACGGTAGTCTATCCCGGAGCTGATAAAGTGGTTAGAGTCGTGATGGTTAAGATGCCACAGGGAGAATACAAAAGATCAGTCACCAGACTATGTCTTTTGGAAGAGGTGAACAGCGATGATGGTTGTCTCGGGGGTTCCTCGACTGGGGGTGGGGATGTTCCCGCTTCTGGGAACAAACAACTACATCGATGTTTGTTGTGCAATGCCACAGTTATAGCAAGTGAGGCATTTAAATAATTCTATTTAAAAAACTCATTAATAATTCATGACGAAAACACAAAGAAAAATCATAAGCATGTTGTATCTGTATATGTGATACAGATTCATGTTGATTTACATAAACTCTAACTTTGATTTTCTTGGCTTACACAACGTTTATTTTTAAAATTACTTCACCAATGAACTAATAAGATGAGTCATTTTTTAAGCCTTTTACAACATTCGCGTCCGTGTTGTATCGGATATACAAACTCTCGCCTTCGGCTCGAGTTTGTATATCCGATTCAGCACAGCCGCTCATGTTGTAAATAGTACATGTTGCACTGATGGGTTGACTTGCTCTGTCAAAATCTCCGAGGTCTACAGTAGCTAGTGTTTATTAATGCACATGGTATATTGCTACAAAATGTTTAATCCTTTCAAGTGACAATGCGCCCAGATGCGTCCTACTTTGTTAGTAGGGAGCTTAAGATACACCAAATCTGCGACACGGACGCGACTAAAAAACTGTTGCTTAAAATTGGAGACAAGTTTTACTTTGTTTTTCTCATGCCCCTGTTTTTGTTTACCAACAACAATCCATATAGTTTTTTATCTGTGAAGTAAAACTGACAATAGCGGCAGTTTTTGTTCACGTCCGTGTCGTAGATTTGGTTTATCTTAAGCTCCCTATTTTACGCTGTCTAATGCCAGACGATTTTACTTGTCAGGGGAAGAGTGTTGCCACTCAATGGGTTAACATAGCTTTATCAGGACTGATGTTTTGCTGATAAGTTATATTGTGCAGGTGTGGGAAAACCTGTGAATTTACGAAGTAACAACAAGAGAGCATCACAGGTTCGATTTCTTGTATTTGGTACTGATCTGTTGTCAACAAACTTACAGCTACAACATGACAGAGAGCAACATTTTATTTCTGTAAACTGGGAGCAAATTTATGGGAAGCTTGTGAATAATGATGATGCTCATTTCTGTGCTGCCATCACAACATTTGTAAACACAACAAGATACCTTACTGAACAAATTTGAACTCACTATAACCTGAAAACATTTCATACGGTGACAATTGTTAATACCAATAATGTAAACGATTGTTTAATGCAGCAGCTGCATGATGATTGTTTAATGTAGTTTTTCAAGGAAGTCTTCAAAACCTCTTGTAGATATTGTAGCACTGTTGAATCCTCCTTCTCGACATTTGGGACAAGTATTTTTCCCCGAGTTAAGCCATGTTTGTGCACACTGTGGCAACCAACTGATTCACAGCAAGTGCTGATAACAACAGGGGAGGTTGATATGCTTTTACATATAATGCAACGTAGGCATTCACTTATTTCCTCCATTAAGCCATTTTGTACTGCTTTGACAATGAATTCCTCATGGCTCATGTGACTTTGAATAGCTTTTTCCACACTTTCTTGCAATGACCATCAACCACTCTGGTTTTTACAATATTCTTGACTTTCTGTCCATTTTCATCTAATATAGGAGATTTTGTAGTAGAAAATAAAATTCATGACTTGCACACGGTACTTAATTTTACTATTCCTAAGCCAACTAATATAGACGAAACACATTTTCACATATTGATGGGAACTGCAATGGCATTATTAGGCAAGTAATAGGATTAGAAAGTAGGGTGCACTGGGGCACATTGCATTGGATTTAAGACACATTGATACTCAAAAAGATGGTAAGAACTTCCTTTATGTTGGAATTAGCTTAATTTAATGGGTTTGATATTGCTCAGGTCTTTAGGTTACATAAATCCCTTCTATCTATATTCTACCCAAGGTATTTCCTCTGACTTGCATATTATTTTTCTTGTATTTATATGATTGTCAGATCTCACATTATTACCTGACTTAACATCAACAGCTTAATTTAATGGGTTTGATATTGCTCAGGTCTTTAGGTTACATAAATCCCTTCTATCTATATTCTACCCAAGGTATTTCCTCTGACTTGCATATTATTTTTCTTGTATTTATATGATTGTCAGATCTCACATTATTACCTGACTTAACATCAACAGCTTAATTTAATGGGTTTGATATTGCTCAGGTCTTTAGGTTACATAAATCCCTTCTATCTATATTCTACCCAAGGTATTTCCTCTGACTTGCATATTATTTTTCTTGTATTTATATGATTGTCAGATCTCACATTATTACCTGACTTAACATCAACAGCTTAATTTAATGGGTTTGATATTGCTCAGGTCTTTAGGTTACATAAATCCCTTCTATCTATATTCTACCCAAGGTATTTCCTCTGACTTGCATATTATTTTTCTTGTATTTATATGATTGTCAGATCTCACATTATTACCTGACTTAACATCAACAGCTTAATTTAATGGGTTTGATATTGCTCAGGTCTTTAGGTTACATAAATCCCTTCTATCTATATTCTACCCAAGGTATTTCCTCTGACTTGCATATTATTTTTCTTGTATTTATATGATTGTCAGATCTCACATTATTACCTGACTTAACATCAACAGCTTAATTTAATGGGTTTGATATTGCTCAGGTCTTTAGGTTACATAAATCCCTTCTATCTATATTCTACCCAAGGTATTTCCTCTGACTTGCATATT